TGGAGGACACATCGTTTTCTCTTTCAGTATTCAATTTTAGTGATGGATTGAATATAAGTATTGGCTATGAGTTTGATAATAAGGCAGCAGCTCAGGAATATGTACGGAAAGGCGCTGTTAAAGCTTGTTTCGGTTTTTCTACAGTGAAGTCTGACAAGAAGTTGTGGGAATTAAGATGCAAGTTTTATAGATCGGGTTGTGCTTGGAAATTACGCATTGCAGCGATTCAGAATTCCGAACGTTTCAGTGTAAGATCATATAATCCCGTTCATAGTTGCAGACCTGTATCCGAATCCAAAAAAGCTGTGCAAGGTTCAGCGAAGTTGGTTAGAGATTACTTAAAGGAAGAGTATGCTGGTAAGCTTGAAACTCCCACAGCAAAAGAGATAGTAGAACGGGTGAAAGTCAAGTACGGTGCGAGTGTATCGTATATGATGGCATTGAGAGGGAAATATAGTGCTGAATATGAGATCCGTGGTAGTCATGATGAACATTATAGTAGGCTTCCTGGTTGGTTGCACATGTTGACGGAAAGGAATTCTGGGACTATAGCGGGTCTTCAGTTTGAAGATGATAAAAAAACTTTCAAATACCTCTTCATCGCCTTGGGTGCAACTATCAAAAGATGGAAGTATATGCGTAAAGTGGTTGCTGTTGATGCAACATTTCTGACGAGCCAATATAAGGGAGCATTGATTGTGGCAACCGCCCAAGATGGTGATCATCACCAATATCCTTTAGCGTGGGGAGTGATAGATAGAGAGAATGATGCTTCATGGTTGTGGTTTATGACAAGATTAAGCGAAGTAATACCGGATGGTCCTGATGTAGTTGTGCTATCTGATCGACACAAAAGCATAATCAAAGCTGCGAGAGAAGTATACAAGCATGCGCAACACGGCTTTTGTGTGAGACACATAGCGCAGAATTTAAAAGTGCACGTTAATAGAGGCAGTAGAAGAAAGAGTTCAAATGGTGAGACCGTCTCTAAATTGTTCTTTAAATGTGCAGCAGCCTACACGATTGATGAGTTTGAATACCTATACGATGATCTAAAAAGCAGGTATGTTTCTTGTGGTTAGTGTGATTGACTTGTTTGACGAGTTTGACTGGTGTTATTAATGTGAATATATCTCATAATGTGTAGATATCCCAAAGTGGCTGAGTACATGCAAAAGGAAGAACTTGCACCTGAGAATTGGGCAAGGTGTAAATTTAAGAGTGAAAGGTACAACATGTTAACAACCAATGGGGCCGAATCGATCAACTCCGTACTGAAGAAGGCAAAAAAGTATCCATTGCTAAGTCTACTTGATATTTGTCTCGGAAAGACAGTTGAATGGTTTAACAGGCACAGGTTAGAAGCAGGTAGTTCTGATGAATCTCAAAAGTTAACACCATTTGTTTACAAAGAGCTACATGAACGTTACGAGAAGGCATGTACATTTGACGTTCAAGAACTGAACGGTGTTACTGGCGAGTTTGAGGTGCGGGATGATAAGGGTAGAAGACACTTGGTTAATCTTGGAGAAAGAACATGTGGTTGCAAAATGTTTGATGTGGATAGGTATCCTTGTAGTCATGCAATTGCAGCAGCACATATGATCGGAAAAGGCGATATGATATACGAACTTTGTTCTGAATACTACAGGCGAGATACATGGCGTATGGCTTACCAAGAGACTGTGTACCCGGTTCCTGATTGTTGTGATTGGAAATTGCCATCTTCCATTGCAGATGTAGTGGTATTGCCGCCTATAGTGGAAGAAAAACGGGTAAGTGGAAGGCCTAAACAAAACCGATTTCCTGGACCTGGTGAATCTCGAAAAAGAAAATCATGTTCGGTAGGTTCGGTCAGTACGTCAAGGACGTCACAGAGGGGTTTCTGAGTTTGACGAGTTTGACGTGTTTGACGAGTCAACGCGGTCAACCTGTGGTCAAAATTAAATTCCGATGGTTCAAAGTTGTGTACAGGGTCTATTATGACGTATTGAGCGTGTTTTTGTTATAAGGAGAGCATCTGGGAAAATGATAAATTCTACCCTAGACCAATGTGTAACATAAAGTGTAATAGAACATTAGGGTTTTGTTTGGGGGAACATGCATTGCTAAACAAAATAAGGTGTTCAATTCAGTTAGCTCCGATTGTTTTTTACCTATAAAATTTGTTATACGGGGTGTTTATTGATATGTTCATGGTTTAGAATTGATAAATTCGCAAAATCAGAGAGTTTGACGAGTTTGACGTGTTTGACGAGTTTGACGAGTCAACGCAGTCAGCCTGTGGTCAAAATTAAATTCCGATGGTTCAAAGTTGTGTACAGGGTCTATTATGACGTATTGAGCGTGTTTTGGTTATAAAGAGAGCATCTGGGAAAATGATAAATTCTACCTAGACCAATGTGTAACATAAAGTGTAATAGAACATTAGGGTTTCGTTTGGGGGAACATGCATTGCTAAACAAAATAAGGTGTTCAATTCAGTTAGCTCCGATTGTTTTTTACCTATAAAATTTGTTATACGGGGTGTTTATTGATATGTTCATGGTTTAGAATTGATAAATTCGCAAAATCAGAGAGTTTGACGAGTTTGACGAGTTTGACGTGTTTGACGAGTTTGACGTAAATAATAAGATGTTCTTAAGAAGTAAAATACTAATAAATTAAAGAGGTTCTTATCACGAAAGAGGTTTTTAATAGAAAGAGGTTTTAAACCTGATTAGATACAACTTAATCCGAAAGAGGTTCTTAATAGAAATAAAATACTAATAAATTAAAGAGGTTCTTAACAAATGAAATAGTACGGAGAAGAATCTCAGCCTTCCTCGGTAGACACAGACACTTCCTTGCCATTTGCGAATATATCAGATGCAATCTTTTCGCGAATAGAATACACCACCTTGTCGCTCACCTTATCCAATAAGGTAAGATCATTCCTGTAGAGTGCCTCTGCATATTTGATGCTGTATATGCCGCATTCATTTCATGTAACGTTCTGAGGTAGATTAGAGATTAGCTCGATGGAAAACAAGGTCGAAACGTCAATTCGACCAGTCCCGCTAATCATGAAGGCCTCTGGGATACTTCTGCATAAGTGATGAATCACTTTAATTGTCGCCTCCTTCATTCTCGGGTTGCAGTCATACACTTGAATCACCGTGT